ATAGAGACAGAAAGCGAGAAATCACCCCCCAGGGGGGATGGTCACGCAGCAATCCCTTCTCCTCCATTCTCCTCTCGGGATCTTGGGCACGCACGCACACTGCGTGAGTTTTAAGCCACCGGGTCCGGGACGCGAATTGCGGTCGACTACGTGGGAGTCCAGCGACATAGCCATTACGCTGACTGCTGGCTCCTAGAATGTTTGAGGTCAATCTGCCTCTTCAATTTGTAGTTCTGGAAACCCAGACTCCAGCTCTAGCTATGGCTTCACAGCCCATCTTATTTTGGTATAGAAGCAGTCCTACAGAAGATACGGTGTTTATGGTAATACAGATCTGATGGTTATCATATTATATTTGGAAGACTTCACTTACTTAGTTCCTGATATTCAAAAACCAGATGTTGTAATCCAAATTGTGGGAATCTTTCCATTAACTTGATACTTTTCTACTGTTGTGAACATATTCTCTTGGTGTTTTGCTGAATGCTCTTCCTTCTTTCTGTAGAATGTGACTCTTCTTTTCTGGGAAGCATAGCATCTCCTGAGGAGTCTCGCTGTGTGGACAGGCTGGTATATGTGGTGAATGAGGTAAGAAATAGGTATGCATGGGGAAGAAAAGAGTTCATACAAAGGTGATGTTGAAATAATAGTTCTCATTATCTTCCCTGCCTGCTATCTAAATACAGTTCCCTATGTTCCTCTGCCTATTCCTATACTTTACACTTTTTGTTCAGGGAAAAGGGATATTGTCTTTGATAATCAGACAGCTTGCAGATCTTGAAGGGATGGCAGGAGCATCATTGGGAAGGAGCAGACAAGTGGGAGGCATTTAATATGGCCTTGAATATACGAAAGCATATGTTATAACCCTGTCATGAGTGTTTGAACATCATGGTCTCTTCCATTTTCTTTCCTCTGCTTTTCTTTCTCTCCATGATCTGTCCCTTTCTAGGTTCTTATAGTGATCTGTAGGTAGTTCTTCATATGGATGTTAATTAAGAGGACAGAAACTATTCATTTGGATCTAAAATAGGTGTGAATGTGAGTATTCACGTTGCTTTAAGGTGGAGTGTGGCTATGGAGGTGAGACCAGATTGCATCTTGGAGCCATTGTTTTCCAACTTTTCAGACACCTCTGCTCTCCCATTTGTGTGCAGTAATGGGAGTGGAATGAGTTGGGATTATGCCTATAGAGTAGCTGGTACACTTGAGGGGGGCAAAAAAATGGGGAGGGAAGTAATGAAGAGGAGCAAAGGGGTCAGAAGTGGTCTATAACCAAAGCCCTGTAATTACAATGGCTACTATTGTGTGACCAGAGTACAAGCCTTTCAACCAAATACTCATTCTGATCCTATCCGTAATTTTGTCCTTTGGTCTGCATGTAAACTGACTATAGGGTTTATCAACCTTGAAGGCAAAGAAAGAGGAGAAAATTGAATGTCAGTATAGGTTGGTGTGATGCTTATCTGGATAGACTATAGAGTCTAGTGGTATATGCCAACATGAGTCTAAAGGGGCCGGGTGCTCTTTAGCCTCTCTCACTTTCAGCATCCTTATTCCTGTTTGATGCAGCAGAAGGAATGATAGTTCTTGGGCAGGACCTTGCTGGGCATCAGTGGGAGTGTGCAAGGGATAAAATGAGGTAGCACATTTTTCTAGTAATCCACTTCTTGTTTCATATAATTTGTCTCTACTCTCATATGTCCTTTCATGTGGGTGTCCATAATGAAAAGCACAGCTGGAGAAGACTCAAAGTCCATTTTTTTGTTTCTCCCTCAAGGTCTATCTCCAGTGGTGGCTGTGGTGGCCTTGGATTGGCTAAAGATCATCACCTTCAACAGGTCTGCATTCAGGAACCATCATCCTCTCCCAGTCTGGCTATACTTCTGCCCTGTTTGTATCAGTGATAAAGCGTGTTTAGAAAAGGGATTTTGTGACTGCTGAACTCAAAATCGACTCTATCTTTTCATTTTCTTATCAAGTTTACCCTTGATCCAGTGAAAGACTATTAAGACATCGACCTAGGACACGTGGAGAACCAAGGCCAAGACTGAACAGGGCTATATAATTGGGTTTAACCATGACTAGGTCTAAGGGTAAGAATAGAGCCCAGGTCAAAACTGAGAAAAGGGCTGGTGTACAGGCTAAAACTGGAGCAGAGTGGGAGGCTACTGCCGTAGTCAGACCTACACCTAAGACCCAAGCCAAAGGAAAAGCCAAGGCAGGGTCTAAGACAGATGCAGTGGCAGAGATGAAGACAATGTCTAAGAACAGAGCAGTTGCTGAGACAAAGGAAGGAGCACTATCAGGATCTAAGGCTGTGGTCAAAGCCAGGAAAGATATTGGTCGCAAGTCTCAGAATGAGGCCACTAGCTCCACACGTAAAAATGAGGCTAGTACTGAGGCCTGCCTGTGTGCTGGGGAAGAAACCACTGCTAATCCCTGTTTCTGGAATGGAGGAGAGGCTGGTAATCGTTTCAGTGCTAAGGGTGAAGGTAAACCTGATACTGGTGCTCAGGTCTGTGCAGAGGAACTGGAACCTGCAGCTGGGGTCAGCTACAAGTCTAAGTCAGGGGCTGAGGAAGAGGAAGAAGAAAATGTTATCGGCAACTGGTTTTGGGAAGGAGATGATACCAGTTTTGACCCTAATCCTAAACCTGTGAGTAGGATTGTTAAGCCCCAGCCTGTGTATGAAATTAATGAAAAAAACAGGCCCAAGGATTGGTCTGAAGTAACTATCTGGCCCAAAGCCCCTGCTGTAACTCCAGCTGTGTTAGGATTTAGATCCCAGGTCCCATGTGAAACAAGTCCTTCATATATTGTTCTGGGCTCAGTTGAGGAAAATACCCATTCTTTGCCTGTGACAGAAGCCTGCTCTTCTGGGAGCACTCTCTCATGCTCACAGCCTATCTCTGAGTACCCATTTGGTTCTGACACTTGTGTCCAGACCATACAGGAGATTAGACGCCAAATCAGGATCAGAGAGATGAATGGGATTAAACCATTTGCTTGCCCTTGTAAAATGGAATGCTGCATGGGTTCTGAGGAATTTGAAAAACTTGTTAGCTTACTTGAGTCGACTAGTGACCCGCTCATTCATAAAATAGCACAGATTGCAATGGGTATCCATAATGTTCATCCATTTGCTCAAGAATTCATTAATGAAGTGGGTGTAGTGACACTTATTGAAAGCTTGCTCAGTTTTCCTTCTACCGAAATGAGAAAAAAGACTGTAATTACTCTGAATCCTCCTTCTGAGAATGAAAGACAACGTAAGGTTGAATTACATGTTAAGCATATGTGTAAAGAAACCATTTCTTTTCCCTTAAACTCACCTGGACAGCAGTCTGGATTAAAGATACTAGGGCAACTGACTACTGAATCTGTCCATCACTATATTGTTGCCAGTTACTTTTCAGAGCTTTTCAATTTGCTGTCCCAGGGAAATTGTAAAACCAGAAATCTTGTTTTGAAAGTACTTTTGAATATGTCTGAAAATCCAACTGCAGCCAGAGATATGATCGATATGAAGGCATTGGCAGCGTTAAAACTCATCTTTAACCAGAAAGAGGCAAAAGCCAATCTTGTTAGTGCTGTGGCCATATTTATTAACATAAAGGAGCATATCAGAAAAGGCTCAATTGTTGTTGTTGATCACTTGAGTTATAATACACTCATGGGCATTTTCCGTGAAGTTAAAGGGATTATTGAAGCAATGTGAAGTAAGCCAGAAATAAAAGAGTGCATTTTGAACAATCTCCATACTCTTAACAGGATGTATATTCCCTGAGAGTCTTACATAATATTTTGGTTATTATAGTGTGCACATTATACATTGCATCTTTAACGTGATGTTACCTGTGACAGGCTTTAGGTTTAAGCTACGCTACTTTGGAGTTATCAGATGAATATTATATCTTGAAATGTAAACATCTGTTGACTTTTCAGTTGTCTAAATTGGAAGATTTTTAGCATTTTTCTTAGTAAGATTGTGAACCAGTTCATCATAAGTAACTACGTTGTTCATTAGTATATGCTTAGACCCATTTATGGTTTTAAATGGTAAGAAAAGAAGATATCCTTAATTTCTAATCTAGTTAAAGAAATGAGTCATATATAAAGATAAGTAACAGTAATTAGAATGTGTGTTGCATACACAGTATGTAAAGGAGGCAAGGGTCACCATAGGCTGTTTAATTTCCATATTTTAGCTGCATCAGACCCTCAGTCTATAACACAGATATTTTGTGCTGATCCTGTTAGCTAGGCTGTCATATTTGTATTAGGACTCATTATTCTGGTTATCCTCAATGAAAGTTAGGTTAAATACCATTTCCTAGGTTCCCTTAGCAGGTGGGTGTCATAGCTCTTTTGTATAATAGCAGAACTCATCTTACTTTACTACCTTATCGTCCTCCTCCACTTTTTTAGTTGGTGGACTTGAACTTCAAAACTCACAGATTGTTTGGTAATTGCTTAATTTTGCAGTGGATGATGTCACTGTCAGGTGTTGTAGTTCTTAACTTCCTTCATATACACATGTCCATTAAGCATTTGGCTATACCTGAATGGAGGTCAGGAGAAAAGTCTGAAATGAATGTATGACACTTAACTGGCATTGTTCTGGGAAACTATGTATTCAAAATTGTTGAATGAATAAAGTAAATTTGGAATCATTAGCAAATGATACTTCCTATGTATCCTTCAATCTTTTTCTGTCATATGTACCTTTCCCCCCCCAAAGAGCTGGAATCATTTTGTACATTGTTTCATATCCTCCATTTACAAAAATAGTTGCAGGGCTAGCCCCAGAGTGCAGTGGTTAAGCACTGTCTATCAGAAGCCGGATCCCACATGGCTGACTGTAGTTCAAATCCCAGCAGCTTGGAAAACATGTCAGGTTCATGTGACTGAGTCCCCAAAATCCTGACAGGGTCGAGGGAGGATAGGGATTGCAGCATGACTATGCCCTATTTGGGGATTCCTCTCCTCTCCTCTCCTCTCCTCTCCTCTCCTTTCCTCTCCTCTCCTCATTTCCCTTCTCACACATGGACACACACACACCTTCAGTTATATAAAAAAATAAAGGTAGTTCCTTTTTTCTTACTAGTAGGCAGACCCAGTTTCTGCATTTGTACCAGCTAAAACTGTAACAGAATAGTAAACTTGGGAAATTTAGACCCAGAATTGCAGTTTCAACAACAAAAAACGGGAAAGCTAAAAGGCTACTAAGGGGCCAGCAGGTGGTGTGGTGGTTAAGGCACTGGACTCCAACTTGGTTGACTGTGGTTTGAGACCCAGTGACTTGAAAATCACTCCAGGTGCATGTGCATGCCTGCCCAAAATCCCAAAAGGAGAATAGACCGGAAGATATTGCAACATGGCCATCCCCTTTCCCCAGGAGTATTTTTCACTTTCTCTCTCTCTCTGTCTCTCTCTCTCTTGAGCACAGATGCTCTCTGACCAAAAAATAAATAAATAAATAAATGTTAATATTACTTACTCCACCCAGAAAGCGAGAAATCACCCCCCAGGGGGGATGGTCACGCAGCAATCCCTTCTCCTCCATTCTCCTCTCGGGATCTTGGGCACGCACGCACACTGCGTGAGTTTTAAGCCACCGGGTCCGGGACGCGAATTGCGGTCGACTACGTGGGAGTCCAGCGACATAGCCATTACGCTGACTGCTGGCTCCTAGAATGTTTGAGGTCAATCTGCCTCTTCAATTTGTAGTTCTGGAAACCCAGACTCCAGCTCTAGCTATGGCTTCACAGCCCATCTTATTTTGGTATAGAAGCAGTCCTACAGAAGATACGGTGTTTATGGTAATACAGATCTGATGGTTATCATATTATATTTGGAAGACTTCACTTACTTAGTTCCTGATATTCAAAAACCAGATGTTGTAATCCAAATTGTGGGAATCTTTCCATTAACTTGATACTTTTCTACTGTTGTGAACATATTCTCTTGGTGTTTTGCTGAATGCTCTTCCTTCTTTCTGTAGAATGTGACTCTTCTTTTCTGGGAAGCATAGCATCTCCTGAGGAGTCTCGCTGTGTGGACAGGCTGGTATATGTGGTGAATGAGGTAAGAAATAGGTATGCATGGGGAAGAAAAGAGTTCATACAAAGGTGATGTTGAAATAATAGTTCTCATTATCTTCCCTGCCTGCTATCTAAATACAGTTCCCTATGTTCCTCTGCCTATTCCTATACTTTACACTTTTTGTTCAGGGAAAAGGGATATTGTCTTTGATAATCAGACAGCTTGCAGATCTTGAAGGGATGGCAGGAGCATCATTGGGAAGGAGCAGACAAGTGGGAGGCATTTAATATGGCCTTGAATATACGAAAGCATATGTTATAACCCTGTCATGAGTGTTTGAACATCATGGTCTCTTCCATTTTCTTTCCTCTGCTTTTCTTTCTCTCCATGATCTGTCCCTTTCTAGGTTCTTATAGTGATCTGTAGGTAGTTCTTCATATGGATGTTAATTAAGAGGACAGAAACTATTCATTTGGATCTAAAATAGGTGTGAATGTGAGTATTCACGTTGCTTTAAGGTGGAGTGTGGCTATGGAGGTGAGACCAGATTGCATCTTGGAGCCATTGTTTTCCAACTTTTCAGACACCTCTGCTCTCCCATTTGTGTGCAGTAATGGGAGTGGAATGAGTTGGGATTATGCCTATAGAGTAGCTGGTACACTTGAGGGGGGCAAAAAAATGGGGAGGGAAGTAATGAAGAGGAGCAAAGGGGTCAGAAGTGGTCTATAACCAAAGCCCTGTAATTACAATGGCTACTATTGTGTGACCAGAGTACAAGCCTTTCTACCAAATACTCATTCTGATCCTATCCGTAATTTTGTCCTTTGGTCTGCATGTAAACTGACTATAGGGTTTATCAACCTTGAAGGCAAAGAAAGAGGAGAAAATTGAATGTCAGTATAGGTTGGTGTGATGCTTATCTGGATAGACTATAGAGTCTAGTGGTATATGCCAACATGAGTCTAAAGGGGCCGGGTGCTCTTTAGCCTCTCTCACTTTCAGCATCCTTATTCCTGTTTGATGCAGCAGAAGGAATGATAGTTCTTGGGCAGGACCTTGCTGGGCATCAGTGGGAGTGTGCAAGGGATAAAATGAGGTAGCACATTTTTCTAGTAATCCACTTCTTGTTTCATATAATTTGTCTCTACTCTCATATGTCCTTTCATGTGGGTGTCCATAATGAAAAGCACAGCTGGAGAAGACTCAAAGTCCATTTTTTTGTTTCTCCCTCAAGGTCTATCTCCAGTGGTGGCTGTGGTGGCCTTGGATTGGCTAAAGATCATCACCTTCAACAGGTCTGCATTCAGGAACCATCATCCTCTCCCAGTCTGGCTATACTTCTGCCCTGTTTGTATCAGTGATAAAGCGTGTTTAGAAAAGGGATTTTGTGACTGCTGAACTCAAAATCGACTCTATCTTTTCATTTTCTTATCAAGTTTACCCTTGATCCAGTGAAAGACTATTAAGACATCGACCTAGGACACGTGGAGAACCAAGGCCAAGACTGAACAGGGCTATATAATTGGGTTTAACCATGACTAGGTCTAAGGGTAAGAATAGAGCCCAGGTCAAAACTGAGAAAAGGGCTGGTGTACAGGCTAAAACTGGAGCAGAGAGGGAGGCTACTGCCGTAGTCAGACCTACACCTAAGACCCAAGCCAAAGGAAAAGCCAAGGCAGGGTCTAAGACAGATGCAGTGGCAGAGATGAAGACAATGTCTAAGAACAGAGCAGTTGCTGAGACAAAGGAAGGAGCACTATCAGGATCTAAGGCTGTGGTCAAAGCCAGGAAAGATATTGGTCGCAAGTCTCAGAATGAGGCCACTAGCTCCACACGTAAAAATGAGGCTAGTACTGAGGCCTGCCTGTGTGCTGGGGAAGAAACCACTGCTAATCCCTGTTTCTGGAATGGAGGAGAGGCTGGTAATCGTTTCAGTGCTAAGGGTGAAGGTAAACCTGATACTGGTGCTCAGGTCTGTGCAGAGGAACTGGAACCTGCAGCTGGGGTCAGCTACAAGTCTAAGTCAGGGGCTGAGGAAGAGGAAGAAGAAAATGTTATCGGCAACTGGTTTTGGGAAGGAGATGATACCAGTTTTGACCCTAATCCTAAACCTGTGAGTAGGATTGTTAAGCCCCAGCCTGTGTATGAAATTAATGAAAAAAACAGGCCCAAGGATTGGTCTGAAGTAACTATCTGGCCCAAAGCCCCTGCTGTAACTCCAGCTGTGTTAGGATTTAGATCCCAGGTCCCATGTGAAACAAGTCCTTCATATATTGTTCTGGGCTCAGTTGAGGAAAATACCCATTCTTTGCCTGTGACAGAAGCCTGCTCTTCTGGGAGCACTCTCTCATGCTCACAGCCTATCTCTGAGTACCCATTTGGTTCTGACACTTGTGTCCAGACCATACAGGAGATTAGACGCCAAATCAGGATCAGAGAGATGAATGGGATTAAACCATTTGCTTGCCCTTGTAAAATGGAATGCTGCATGGGTTCTGAGGAATTTGAAAAACTTGTTAGCTTACTTGAGTCGACTAGTGACCCGCTCATTCATAAAATAGCACAGATTGCAATGGGTATCCATAATGTTCATCCATTTGCTCAAGAATTCATTAATGAAGTGGGTGTAGTGACACTTATTGAAAGCTTGCTCAGTTTTCCTTCTACCGAAATGAGAAAAAAGACTGTAATTACTCTGAATCCTCCTTCTGAGAATGAAAGACAACGTAAGGTTGAATTACATGTTAAGCATATGTGTAAAGAAACCATTTCTTTTCCCTTAAACTCACCTGGACAGCAGTCTGGATTAAAGATACTAGGGCAACTGACTACTGAATCTGTCCATCACTATATTGTTGCCAGTTACTTTTCAGAGCTTTTCAATTTGCTGTCCCAGGGAAATTGTAAAACCAGAAATCTTGTTTTGAAAGTACTTTTGAATATGTCTGAAAATCCAACTGCAGCCAGAGATATGATCGATATGAAGGCATTGGCAGCGTTAAAACTCATCTTTAACCAGAAAGAGGCAAAAGCCAATCTTGTTAGTGCTGTGGCCATATTTATTAACATAAAGGAGCATATCAGAAAAGGCTCAATTGTTGTTGTTGATCACTTGAGTTATAATACACTCATGGGCATTTTCCGTGAAGTTAAAGGGATTATTGAAGCAATGTGAAGTAAGCCAGAAATAAAAGAGTGCATTTTGAACAATCTCCATACTCTTAACAGGATGTATATTCCCTGAGAGTCTTACATAATATTTTGGTTATTATAGTGTGCACATTATACATTGCATCTTTAACGTGATGTTACCTGTGACAGGCTTTAGGTTTAAGCTACGCTACTTTGGAGTTATCAGATGAATATTATATCTTGAACTGTAAACATCTGTTGACTTTTCAGTTGTCTAAATTGGAAGATTTTTAGCATTTTTCTTAGTAAGATTGTGAACCAGTTCATCATAAGTAACTACGTTGTTCATTAGTATATGCTTAGACCCATTTATGGTTTTAAATGGTAAGAAAAGAAGATATCCTTAATTTCTAATCTAGTTAAAGAAATGAGTCATATATAAAGATAAGTAACAGTAATTAGAATGTGTGTTGCATACACAGTATGTAAAGGAGGCAAG